TCTAATTTACACTCCAACCCACACGCACAACTCTTGGGATCCCAATTGTGTTATTCTAAAGCCTCCAATAATGCTCCTTTAAACTTCCATAGCTCGAGTCCACATCGTCTCATCATCATTCTCGCTCAAAAATTAAGTCCAACTCGATTTCTTGTTTATGTTGACATCAATCTCAATTGCACCACTTCAATTTCATGAACAAATTGCAAGCCTCCAGCAGTCCCGCACTCCTTCTACACCTCCAATAACAAATAGTCCTCGATAAATCCTGTAAATAAGCTCAAAAGACTGGAAAGCACCCAGTAAAGGAGAAAAATAACAAAAAAGAGAAAATATGCATGAAGATTAACTAAAATGAGATGGTTTTAAATAAAAATAAACTATGAAAAGAAGTAATAAAAATGAAATTATCATGTTGCACCGTAGCTTCCATGTTAGACATCTATTCTTGAATTTTTAAGAGGTCATGAGCAGTCTTTGCGTTGTTGAATACATCAGCTCAGTATTTGGCTACGGTTTGAATTTGTTGTTCCCGTAGCTTTTGTTGCTTTGTTTGTTGAGCCTTGTGTGCCTGGAATGCCCTGTGGAAAGCTTCATATTTCCTAATTTCGGACTTAGTGCTTGGTTGAAACAGAGTCCAGGAATCATCAGAACAGTAACTATCAAATCCTTGTGTTCGCATCGGGGTGTCCCCTGGGTTCATGGATCCTGGCATAACTGTGCTCACCACGCCCAAACCACCCGTATGTAATGGTGGCAGAGTATGATTTCCCTAGCTTCCTCAGTCTCCTTGACCTGAAGTCAAGTGTGGTCTCGACTCGGTTCTGGCAGGAGCAGAAGAAATGCCCTGCAGTTGGTCATGTGTTTGTAGTGTATATGTTACTGAAAGAATGATGGACTGCAACTCCTCAAGCTCAAAGAATGTAGGTGACCAACCCTGGATACCTTAGGGTGATTTGAACTAATGGGATCCCCTTGGGATCCAACTAGGGGTGAGTCTCCACTGTTGAATGAAACAAACACACTTTCTGTGTATGAGTAGTCTAATAGGGTAGAGACAAGTAAGCTTGTGGGGGCTCCAAGGACTACCGGAGTCTATTGAGAGACTGCGGTATGAGTTTGTTCATGCATTAGGATATGACTATGGATAAGTTTGAGCTTTTTTCATCTAAATATATCATTGGAGTCATGAAGAGACTCTTTTTCCACATCGACAATCATGTCTTGAGTTCTGGAGGGAGAAGGAGGTGCTTCATCCGAAGATTCAACGATTCTTGTTTTGCACTTTTTTGAGGGAGCTTATCCCTTGTTTACAATATTTTTGGGGCCTTATTTGAAGATACTATCTTCTTTACACGCTTGGCTTTTGGTGGATTAGATGGTTCTTCGGTACGTGGAACTGAAGATGAGATGGGTATTGCGGTACTGGATGGACCTTGTGTTTCTGTAAGGGCTGGGACAGATTAACTAGGATGAGGCGGGGAAGAATGGTATGTGTCAATACCATTCGTAGCCTCAATATGGTCCGTAACATCTAGGGCATTGAGTCCAATGGACTCCAGGATGTGTCTAGGTAATCTTCTAAGAGGTCCAAAAATAGATTGATCTTTAGACGGGGTGTACCTTTTCAAGTCGCGTGTGATGAAGAGTGTTATATCATCACCCATGTCAAGTTTTGCCTCTTTATGAAGATCCAAGATGCAGAGAGACCAAAATCGAGCAAAGGTAAGCTCAGATGCTTCTAGTCACGGAGACTCCTTTGGGATGTATTGAAGAAAGTTATCCAACAAGATTTGACCAAAATTAACTGCATTCCCAGTATATATGCTCTATACGAGCTCGGGGAGCTTGATCCCCATATTGTTCGTGTTGTCGATTCTTCCAGACAAGCTTCTGATGACAAAATGGTAGACGAATTGTCACACCGCAGGTAACTGGTTTTTCTTGAATTCGTCGATCCCCTTGAGTTTCTTCTGGTACCCCATCTCGTACAAAGTGGTGATGATGTCTTGTGTGCTTGGAGAGAAGACCTTGATATTAGGTGGAACCCTAAGATCAATGGCTTCCAAAAACTTGGTATTGGTGAGTACGACCATTGATTCATCAATCAAGTGCAGATGCACTTCCTGAAAGTTGTGGAGGGGATGATAGGCTAAAAACGCACACTTAAACAGAGTGGGGAGTGGAACAACATCGGTGAAAGCATCGAATACACCAAACAGTGGATGAGATGGGATGAACTTGATCATCAATCGAATCACTTCAAAGTGGTGAGGATGATCTTCAAACACAACCCTAAAATTGCTTGAAGCAGTGGATGGGGACTGAGCTTTGATGGTTGTATCGGAACCATTTGGTTTCCCAAACCCTGAGGCCTTGGATTGCTTCTTGGAAACTCCATATTTCACCATTTTTTGAAAATATTAGGAGCTTATAGAAAACCTTGAGCAAGAAGATGAAGGAGAGAAAGATCGTCAAAAGGGTTTAGAAAGTGTAAGCCTTCTTGGGAAGAAAAAGAGATTTTATATGGTCGGATTTCAAAATTTTATCCAAAATGACTTATTTACAACCGTTAATAGTAAAAACTCTTGGGTTTTAACCATTATTAGCCACAAGAAAAAGAATAAATCAACAAGGAAAATAAAAACATTTACTTGGAAATCGGAGCATTAAATGAATGTCAGGCCCATGATCACACGTTTAATGAACATGTGGTAATGGGGGTTTATCTGTTGTAAAAAGAGGAATTTGAAACGGAATTATGATCAGTGAAATAGATATGTTTGATGTTGTATATGCCAGTATATGTTAGCTATGTGCACATAGGTTATTTTCTTGTTGCTTGGGTTGAGGCGGTCCTGCTTTGTGTTGAAGGCCAACACACCTTATGAGCGGTCCGGGGAGACTGTAGGCCCACGTGGCGGTCCAGTCATGCCGAAGGCTCGAGACAGATTCAAATGGACTGTAGGCCCTGCAGGACGGTCCAGTCAGGCCGATGGCCCAGTATGCATGTTATTGATTGTCTGTTATTGATGTGGTATTATCAGTGTGGTATTGGTATTTTGGGGGTAGCTCACTAAGCCCTCAGGCTTACAGTTTTCAGTTTATTATTTCAGGTACTTCAGGAAATCATAGCAAGGCGAAGGCGTGACCGTACCGCTCCTCATCCTTATGATCTGGTTATTGGGACACTCTGATGAATAATGATTTGAAAACAAATAGAATTTGGTTTTATTTATAATTGGAAAAGTTTAAATTTAGCGTAAATTTTTTTGATGTGACAGGTTTAATGACCAAAATTCCATGCATGACACCAAAAGTTATTCATAATTCAGATCCAAGACACCAAATACTCTATTTGACCTAGAGATTCATAAAGTTACAAACTTTATGAGATCCCACCACTCGATCCATCAATATATGAAGAAAAAGGACAAAATCAAGAGATCTAGTAACATGGCAAGAAAAAGATTGGATCTTGGACACTCAACAAGGTCCATAAGATGTGTTAGCTGAAGAAATGATGCTTGCCAAGTGACTACTACACCAAGGGCTTCCTTTTCCTTTAAAAATCACCAAAAAGCACCAAGAATGAGCTCCCAACTTCAATGGAGGCTAGGGTTAGGGTTTATGAGTTTAAGAGGGAGATGGTGGTTGAATGATCATGAAACCCTAGCCTTAATGTTCTTTATATAGGGCCCAAAGCCCGAAATTAAGGTTTTCACTAAAAACACATGCCACGTTGTGGCACCTAAGGCCACGCCGTGGCGGATAATTTAAATCTCGCGGTCCAAGACTTCCCACCACGTCATGGTGATGCTCCACCACACTGTGGCCACCCTAATTAAGATTAATACATAAAAAAAGTTTATTCATATATGGAACAAATGTTACAGTGATATGGATTTCTATGAGCTATGTATCCTCGGTACACAGAGAAAAATTACCTTTCTAAATACGGGGACGTCAAGGTTGGAAAGTTGGAGCTTGTTCAAGTTAATGCATACAACCCTACACAATTTCCTCAATGGGAGGATCATGATATATTGTATTTATAGTCAATTCCATGAGAAAGGTATGCATTTATTTTCTATAAGATAAATATAGGTCTTGAATACCTAGTTTTATGTATAGAACATCAATATAATTGTAAACCTCATCTCGAATGAGTCAATAATAAATCTTTCTATTTTGCTTATGAACGTAACGCTGCCTCAAATTTTGTAAACAATGTAAATCTTGGCTTTGCATCTTTTAATTGTATGGTTGTCGTTCAAAAAAAAAAAAAAAGTAATTAGTTGGCTGAAATCACAGCAATTCCATCACAACTAAACTGCATATATATCACAATTTTATCGAGTTATTTGAGCATAAATTTAATAGATGCTCCTTTAAATATAGGAAACAAGTTTGAGATACATGATAAAAGTCAAACAAACATTAATTTGAAGCCTTGCACAGTTGCACATATGTTAATGTTCTTTGTCAAACTCAAATCAAATTTACTTGATGAAACACATTTATTTTTTGTTGAATCTTTTGTCATGAAAATATATCTAAATTTAAACTAAACCTAACTCCATCGGATCTAGTTTCAGCTTGTTTTGTTTCTACCAACTGGCTGTTAGCGATTACACTCCTTAAACAGTTGCCACCAACATCATCAAAACCAACTAACTCCTCTTTCTAGAGCGAGAAACATATACTTTTAGAGAGAGAAACATATAAATAGAGAAGAATAGGGAAAAGATAGAATTTCTGTAACAACATTGAAAAAAAGTGACGATTTTTTCGGCTTTTTCATAAATGGGGTTTTTCATAACTATTGGTAGCTTTTTATTGAAATCACACTATAGTTTCTGGTAAACTTTTTATTTAATTCATACGTACTTTGGTACAATTTTACCCTGTTTTGTTTTATTGCAGTAGAAAAGAAAGAAGGGAATTCTTTTTACAGAAGCTCAAGTACTTGTTGCTTTTATATTCATGTCCTTTTCCCCAACAGTTAATGTTTCACTTCATCAACTGTTTGTGTGAATCCATCTTAAATGTTTCTTCAATGCAAATGAAAAAAGATAGAAGAAAAACATGTCAAATTACATACCAAGCTTCAACAATGAAAGAATCAATCAACCTTCCTATTGAAAATCTCATAATGTGCATTCCAAACGACGGTGGAATCCATGATTCCAATGTTTCACAGCAACGATTTTGTGAATCAAACATTGATTTGTTAAGAGATTGTAAGAATCATTGCCTTAATACTATCGTTGATTTTCCTTTGTCGGATGAAAATAGCCAAGATTCGAAGAGTTATCTACATGGATTTGGGAAGGTGATATCTGATTCCAAGTATCTAAAAGCAACTCAAAACCTACTTGATGATGTTGTTAATGTGAAGAAAGCTATGAAACAACACTGTAAACATGATTACATGAACAATTCCAAAGAAGCCTTGATGATATCAGAAAACAAACTTGATTCGAGACCAATCTCAGCTGCTGAAAAACAAGATTTACAGAGCAATATGACTAAGCTAACGTCTATGCTGAATGAGGTAAGTTTTTGTCTTATTCTTTATAAGATGGCTTGCACATTGACTTGGTTGGTACTTTTGAAATTTTCATAGGATTTTGGGTGGAATTGGAATTCCAAAACTTTAACTACTTGTTCTTATAGGTTGATAGAAGATACAAACAATACTACCATCAAATGCAGATTGTTGTATCATCATTTGAGGCAATTGCTGGATGTGGGGCTTCAATCCCCTACACCACACTCATTCTCCAAACCATATCATGCCAATTCCGGTTCATAAAAGATGCAATTAAAAGCCAGATACAAGTCATATCAACAAGGCTTGGCAGAACGGAATTGAATGAGGAAGGAATTGGGATTCCGAGGTTGAGATTTGTGGATCAGAAGGTGAGGAAACAGAGTCGAGCCATGCATAGACATATCGGGAGACCACAAAGAGGGCTTCCTGAAAGCTGTGTGTCGATCCTACGTGCATGGCTGTTTGAGCACTTTCTTCATCCGTAATCACACTCAACTTATTATTTTTTGTCAAATTGTTTCTTTTTGTTACTCATTGATTCCAAACATAGAAAATAAAGATTTGATTTAAACATGATTTCTTGATTTGTACTAGATATCCAAAGGATTCAGAAAAGAATATGCTTGCCAGACAAACAGGCTTGAGTAAAACTCAGGTAAGCTTCATGCTTTTATTGAAATAATCATCACTCATCACACAATCACACTTTGTTACTTGAAATGGATCAGGTCACGAATTGGTTCATAAACGCACGGGTTCGCCTATGGAAGCCAATGGTGGAAGAAATGCACAAACAGGAATCCATAGATTCTTCAACACCCAAAGTCGCATGACTTTTTAAAATTTTAACGCGACTGGTTTTACTCCAACAAGTTTTTCATGTAAATTCTTAAAATCAATCTAGTTTTTACTTCTTATCATCAACGAAAAAAAAAAGAACACATGTAAAGAAGAGTTGCATCTTCATGCATTTGCAAAAAAAAAAAAAACAGCCAGCACCTACTGTCAAAATGTCAAACAACCATTTCACAACAACCCTTTGCCAAAATCTATACGAAAAGTTAGCACATTCTTGGTTCCTACCTTTCTAGTTACATGTTTTGACTGTTATCCACATCCAAATCCAAATCCAACCTTCTTCCCATTTGTGATCATCTACACACAGAGTGAACACAAAACTCAATACATTATATAAACACAAAAATCAATGCTTTGATAATTAATTAAACCACTGACCTTTTATAGATAGCTGTCATGTCCTCATTCAACCACGAAGTTTCCAAAAACGGATCCCCACAATCTTCAACATTCGTTGTTTCCATCTGAAAGTCATGATGCCCACAATACTCGTTCCATTCAAACCACATTTTAGCAATGGATTCCTTTTTGAAACAAGTTTCATGATCATCCGCTTCAGGTGAATCCGCTGCAATCAATCGGTAAGTGTACACTTTCCTTACTTGCCCCGGTCTAAACGCGCGCCCAATCGCTTGTCGCGTAACAGATGGATTCAGATGAATGTCCAAAATGATTATCCTAGACGCCCCCACAAGTGATATCCCCTCCCCACACGCCTTAATTGATCCGAAAAACACTCTGGAATCCGGGGAGTTGTTGAATTGTTCCATCGCTACCTCACGTTCGTCGTTGTCATTATCTCCTGTGATCATGAAAACTTCTTTTCCCAGACTCCAACCTTTCGTCTTCTCTGTTAATCGAAGTAGAAACTTTAAAGGTAACAGATATTGACCGAATACAAGAAGCTTTTCACCTTCGGATTCACATAAACGGAGTAGGTTGAGATAGAATTTAGCTTTCACTCCTTCGCTTTCGTCCAATTTCTCCAAAATCTCATCGATTTTACTAATGTCGTCGTCGTTTTTCTCCTTGGTGGTCTTCAATACAGATTTGAGCGCAGGGTGGACGTAAATCGCGCTTCCATCTGAACTTATTTTGAATTTCTTTTTCAACTTTTTCAGCTCTGTAACATGGCGTTTTTGTTTGGGGCTGAGGTTAAGAAAAACAGAAAAGTCAACGAGTCCAGGCAATTCGTCTAAGGAGTCGCCTTTGTAATAGTGTAAAACTTTGTTCGTCATATCACGTAAATCTTCAATCACAGTCACCTTCCTCTTAAAATCCTCGTCTTTTAACAAAGTGTGTTCAACCACGTCGTAGAATTCGTTATCTGTACTCTTTTTCAAAAGGTTTCTCCGGCTTTCAATGGGCACCCTGCTCAGAATGCGTCGTTTTATAGCTTTGGAATTTTCCATTCGTAGAAACTTGGGACGTACGAGGTTAAGGATGTTGAAAACCTCTCTTACATGGTTCTGATACAAGGTTCCGGAAAGAACCACCTTCCTAGGGGTTTGGATTTTTTCAAGGGAAGTGAGAATGTTGGTGTCTTGGTTTCTTGGGGTGTGACCTTCGTCTAATATGAGAAGCGAAGGGTGTGTTAGTAAAATCTCTTGACAACTAACTGGAATTGAGCTTGTGTCGTCATCACACACTATCGAGGAAAACTGTTGGTATCCAAGAAATAAAATGCTTCTCTGATTAGCCCACTGTTTTAACACTTCAAATTGCTGTACCCTACCCTCAGCTTTTACAGAGTACAAGTCAAACAACGGGAGGTCCTCCACTTGCCATCTAGTAAATTCTTTTTTCCATGTTCCCAAAATACCCCTTGGGAGAATCACAAGTGGTCGAGCATCTGGATACTTAGCCATAAAGCTTTGAATAAAGCTGATAAGCATGAATGTTTTCCCTGATCCTGGAGCATGAGCGAGAATGCAGCCTCCAGGGTTGTCACACACCAAGTTGCTTAAAAGAAAATTGAAACCTTCAATTTGATGTGGTTTCATTTGCTTTTTGTGTCTTGGATGAGCTGTCACTTCACACACTGAGAAATCATTTCCGGGTAGCTTAACTCCATTAAGAACAGGATTAGCTCGATCTCCTTTTTTTGTTTGGCTTTCATAGTGATAAGTTCTTGTACTCTTTATGGTCTGAAAAGAAATTAAAAAGTAAGTTGTCATGTTACTCATGATACATACATAGAAATAATAAGAAAACAGAACAAATAAAAGGGTCAACAAGGAAAGTAAGTTACTTTAGGACGCTGGAATTCGATTATGGATTCGATACTTTTGTCGATTATTCCACACACACGACATACAGAACCAATATCTTCTTTCAAAATAAATGTATGATCACAGTCTTTTCCCTCTTCATTTGCATTTTCATGAGATGCTGGGATTCTATCCTGAAAAATATAAACAAAGGAAGGAAATATAACTAAAGATGACAAGAAACAAAGAACATATGATTAATTGATTATTATTATTATTATTATTATTACCTTTGAAGTCTCTAATCCAATTGTCATTTCTTTCCATATATCGCCTAGTCCATCAAAATCAGCTTCAGGTTGTTCGTCTGAATCGTCGTCTTCAACACCAACATACTTACCCTTATCATGCTTCTTTCCTCCACTGTCCACATCATCCTGTTTTTTCTCATTGTCCATGTCATCATCTTTAAAGCTCTTTTCTTTTTCAACACTAGGCGCCACAAATGTTAATGTATCTCTATCTCCCCCTACGTTTGTAGCTTGGTCAAGAGCATCATCTCCACCCTACAGAGTAATGAAACAAAAATAATGTAAGAGAGAAACATGTAGTGTAAATAATTCAAATCAGAACATACATCTTTTCAACAAATTGTGTATGATAAACACAAATGGGCCTCTACTTAACAAATTGTAGTGATGGTTTAGACCAAATCACAAAACAGGAAAAACTTACCAAAATTTGTTCCATTGACAGCTCAGTAGGCTTATTGAGTAGTGCATCTTTGTATGGTTTTGAACCAATCTTGAGTTCTATATCCTGGTGTGGTTTTGAAGGAATCATGAGTTTTATATCGTCGTCTGGTTTTGAAGGAATCTTGAGTTCTATATCCTCGTATGGTGTTGAAGGAATCTTGATAACTGCATCTTGGAATGATTTTGAAGGGATTTGAGATGTGGGTTCATCATCATCATCCGAGTCAATGATAACAACCAATTGTTGTGCTTGTGCATTTGTATCATGCTTTGTGTTTTCAATTGCAATGGAAATATCCTTCCCAGGCTTCAGATCCAGTGAATCAGCTCCAAGTAAAGGAAATTTTCTAAAAGTAGGCATGAACATCTGCTTCTTTCGTGAAAAAAGATCTTCTATATCTTTTGTAACAGAACCATACTTAGGACTATCAAATCCTAGCACAAAATCTCTGATGGCAAATGGATCTTTGTGATCAAAGTTCTTACGCTTGCTTTTATCAGACATGTACACATGTTTATACCTAGGACTCGGTGATATCCTTTCTTCATTGCTGTCCATACTCTGTCTCCTTTTGACTGTTTCAGAAACAAATATGCAAAACCCGTAAACTTATGGTTGCATTCATTATATAATCGACACAAACGGACAAACCATTTATTTACTACTTCCAAAAGTTACCAAAACAGGGGTGGAAGTGGTGAAGAGACTACATATAGCTGAATTCAAAGCTCAAGATGTGTTGATAAGTAAACCACTGCCTATCTTTCTCGTAGTACATCAATGATTTGCTTAGTATAGCTGATCTTTTGTTTACTCAGATACATGGACAACAACAATGCAACCGGAATTTTTATTTGGAACACATCTTGTGCTTTAAATTCAGGTATATGTGTTTTCTGGAAGAGATTGTGTAATAATAAATAATTAGTATATTCAGTTGCAATAGATTAGGCTGCAGGAGATGACATTTGAACTTGTTTGAAATTTAATAACCAGAGGATAAGTTTTTTTTTTTTTTACAAAAGCTGGATATTTAAAAAACTAATAGGACAGAAGAACATTGAGATTCCTCTGGCATGTCCTGAAGACGAGAGCAAAAATCTCACATATTAGGTCAGAAGACGAAATGAATATGTAACTTTATTTTAATCTTTGATAATCCGATTGTTTAGGGGTATGAAACTGATTAACAAACCCTTAATATTTTCAGAATTTTATGCAAACATTTACAGAACTTCAACTTGCAATAATCAGTTTCAAAACGAACATACAAACGTTGCGAAGGTTCATAACGCGAGAAATGTAATAAAAAGCAAACTATACATGGATACAGGCATACAGCGTACCAGAAGGCGTACAGACTCCCCGATGATGCGTTTCCGTCCCGTCATCTACCTCCATTGACAACATTGCAGCTGTAGAAACAGAAAGGAAGGGAGATTTCAATTTTGTTTGCTTTTCGAGCTTAGGATTAATTTCAAATAAACTCATGCATTTGCAGAAATATAGTGAAACAAGACGTAGCGAGAGCTCAAAAAACTATTAGAAAACCTGATTATGTACATTACAATCAACACTTACACATTGTGATTCAACGGAAGTCGTGAAAGGAGCGATTGTATCGGAGGGAGACGAAGGAGAAAGAGAAAGTTGCAGTGAAGTTTTTTTCGACGGTTTTTTCAGATGATGGGCATGTTTCGCGTGCTACTCTGCTAGACCGTACGTTACTGGCACAGTGCTGCAGCGGCGGCTAGGATGTGTACACGTGGAGAGACGGTGGTGGCATCGACGGTGAGAGATTCGAGGCAAAACGTCAATCGAATGTTCTGCGGAGCATGGAATCAAGTGGGGAATTTCTATTGGAAAAGGGGCCTTGATACGCCGCTGCTATGACAGTCTATGGAAAGGGACACGATTTTGTTATTAATTAATATAAAAGTTTTATGTCGAACCAGATTTTTTATGTTGAAGCAAACAAATGTTGTAAAAGAAGTTAAGTTACTAATATATATATATATATATATATATATATATATATATATAGGGTTAGGTTCATTTGAGACCACCTATATTTTGTGAGACCGTGAGACGCATTTTTTTATTTTTTTTATTTTTTTTTTAATTTTTTTTTAGTTAATTCATGTTCCGAAAATAATATTTAAAAAAAAAATTTTTAGATTTTTTCATTTATTTTGCATTTTAAAATTATTTTTTAGAATATGTCAGTGTAATATTCTATTTAGAATATTTCACGTATTTTTCAAAGAAAAAAAAACGGAATTTTTTTTATTTTTTTATATTTTTTTTTAGTTAATTCAAGTTCCGAAA